GCCGTTAAACAAAATAAACCAAACCAATCTAAATCAAAGAATACATATTCTATTCATACGAATCTATTCTAAAATGTTTTTTCATTAAATAGCCCATTGAGGTGTTGATATGCGGTTAAACAAAATAAACCAAACCAATCTAAACCAAAGAATACATATTCTATGCATACGAATCTATCCTAAAAATGTTGTTTTCATTAAATAACCCATTGAGGTTGATATGCCGTTAAACAAAATAAACCAAAAACCCAATCTAAACCAAAGAATACATATTCTATGCAAACAAAATAAACCAAACCAATTTAAACCAAAGAATACGAATCTATCCTCTAAAAATGTTGTCGGCATTAAATAACACATTGAGGTTGAAATGCCGTAAAACAAAATAAACCAAACCAATCTAAACCAAAGAATACATATTCTATGCATACGAATCTATCCTAAAAATGTTGTCGGCATTAAATAACACATTGAGGTTGAAATGCCGTAAAACAAAATAAACCAAACCAATCTAAACCAAAGAATACATATTCTATGCATACGAATCTATCCTAAAAAATGTTGTCGGCATTAAATAACCCATTGAGGTTGAAATGCCGTAAAACAAAATAAACCAAACCAATCTAAACCAAAGAATACATATTCTATGCATACGAATCTATCCTAAAAATGTTGTCGGCATTAAATAACACATTGAGATTGAAATGCCGTAAAACAAAATAAACCAAACCAATCTAAACCAAAGAATACATATTCTATGCATACGAATCTATACTAAAAATGTTGTCGGCATTAAATAACACATTGAGGTTGAAATGCCGTAAAACAAAATAAACCAAACCAATCTAAACCAAAAGAATACATATTCTATGCATACGAATCTATCCTAAAAATGTTGTCGGCATTAAATAACCCATTGAGGTTGAAATGCCGTAAAACAAAATAAACCAAACCAATCTAAACCAAAGAATACATATTCTATGCATACGAATCTATCCTAAAAAATGTTGTCGGCATTAAATAACACATTGAGGTTGAAATGCCGTAAAACAAAATAAACCAAACCAATCTAAACCAAAGAATACATATTCTATGCATACGAATCTATCCTAAAAATTTTGTCGGCATTAAATAACACATTGAGGTTGAAATGCCGTAAAACAAAATAAACCAAACCAATCTAAACCAAAGAATACATATTCTATTCATACGAATCTATCCTAAAATGTTGTCGGCATTAAATAACCCATTGAGGTTGAAATGCCGTAAAACAAAATAAACCAAACCAATCTAAACCAAAGAATACATATTCTATTCATACGATTCTATCCTAAAAATGTTGTTTTCATTAAATAACCCATTGAGGTTGAAATGCCGTAAAACAAAATAAACCAAACCAATCTAAACCAAAGAATACATATTCTATTCATACGAATCTATCCTAAAAAATGTTGTTTTCATTAAATAACCCATTGAGGTTGAAATGCCGTAAAACAAAATAAACCAAACCAATCTAAACCAAAGAATACATATTCTATTCATACGAATCTATCCTAAAAATGTTGTCGGCATTAAATAACACATTGAGGTTGAGATGCCTTAAAACAAAAATAAACCAAACCAATCTAAACCAAAGAATACATATTCTATTCATACGAATCTATCCTAAAAATGTTGTCGGCATTAAATAACACATTGAGGTTGAAATGCCGTAAAACAAAATAAACCAAACCAATCTAAACCAAAGAATACATATTCTATTCATACGAATCTATCCTAAAAATGTTGTCGGCATTAAATAACCCATTGAGGTTGAAATGCCGTAAAACAAAAATAAACCAAACCAATCTAAACCAAAGAATACATATTCTATTCATACGAATCTATCCTAAAAATGTTGTCGGCATTAAATAACACATTGAGGTTGAGATGCCTTAAAACAAAATAAACCAAACCAATCTAAACCAAAGAATACATATTCTATTCATACGAATCTATCCTAAAAATGTTGTCGGCATTAAATAACACATTGAGGTTGAAATGCCGTAAAACAAAAATAAACCAAACCAATCTAAACCAAAGAATACATATTCTATTCATACGAATCTATCCTAAAAATGTTGTCGGCATTAAATAACCCATTGAGGTTGAAATGCCGTAAAACAAAATAAACCAAACCAATCTAAACCAAAGAATACATATTCTATTCATACGAATCTATCCTAAAAATGTTGTCGGCATTAAATAACCCATTGAGGTTGAAATGCCGTAAAACAAAATAAACCAAACCAATCTAAACCAAAGAATACATATTCTATTCATACGAATCTATCCTAAAAATGTTGTCGGCATTAAATAACACATTGAGGTTGAGATGCCTTAAAACAAAATAAACCAAACCAATCTAAACCAAAGAATACATATTCTATTCATACGAATCTATCCTAAAAATGTTGTCGGCATTAAATAACACATTGAGGTTGAAATGCCGTAAAACAAAATAAACCAAACCAATCTAAACCAAAGAATACATATTCTATTCATACGAATCTATCCTAAAAATGTTGTCGGCATTAAATAACCCATTGAGGTTGAAATGCCGTAAAACAAAATAAACCAAACCAATCTAAACCAAAGAATACATATTCTATTCATACGAATCTATCCTAAAAAATGTTGTCGGCATTAAATAACCCATTGAGGTTGAAATGCCGTAAAACAAAATAAACCAAACCAATCTAAACCAAAGAATACATATTCTATTCATACGAATCTATCCTAAAAATGTTGTCGGCATTAAAAAACCCATTGAGGTTGAAATGCCGTAAAACAAAATAAACCAAACCAATCTAAACCAAAGAATACATATTCTATTCATACGAATCTATCCTAAAAATGTTGTCGGCATTAAATAACCCATTGAGGTTGAAATGCCGTAAAACAAAAATAAAACAAACCAATCTAAACCAAAGAATACATATTCTATTCATACGAATCTATCCTAAAAAATGTTGTCGGCATTAAATAACCCATTGAGGTTGAAATGCCGTAAAACAAAAATAAACCAAACCAATCTAAACCAAAGAATACATATTCTATTCATACGAATCTATCCTAAAAATGTTGTCGGCATTAAATAACACATTGAGGTTGAAATGCCGTAAAACAAAATAAACCAAACCAATCTAAACCAAAGAATACATATTCTATTCATACGAATCTATCCTAAAATGTTGTTGGCATTAAATAACACATTGAGGTTGAAATGCCGTAAAACAAAATAAACCAAACCAATCTAAACCAAAGAATACATATTCTATTCATACGAATCTATCCTAAAATGTTGTCGGCATTAAATAACCCATTGAGGTTGAAATGCCGTAAAACAAAATAAACCAAACCAATCTAAACCAAAGAATACATATTCTATTCATACGAATCTATCCTAAAAATGTTGTCGGCATTAAATAACCCATTGAGGTTGAAATGCCGTAAAACAAAATAAATCAAACCAATCTAAACCAAAGAATACATATTCTATTCATACGAATCTATCCTAAAAATGTTGTCGGCATTAAATAACCCATTGAGGTTGAAATGCCGTAAAACAAAATAAACCAAATCCAAAGCAACGGCTACTCAAAGACTTGGAAATCATCTCGCTTTTCTATCGCTATTTCCATCGAAAATTTTCAGACGATCTACACCACATCGTTCCACCAGTCACAACCTTCACGGCTAAGACTCGCCATGCCGTAAACATTGTAGTGAACCACCATCCTTCTTTCCCTGTTCCTTCGCTAAGATGTAAGCTCTACTCAAGCAGGTACTTCTTACGACCCACTTGTGGAAACTACTCCCAAGAGGATGCTTTCTCGTTCACTACAATTTTAATCTGTTCAAGTCTCGAGATACCGTCACCTTCCACATATACCCGCATTCACTCTGTAAATCTCTACCTGGAGTGGCTCTCGGGTCTTGTACATCGTTAACGTCATTGTTAAAAAAGGTTCGAGCGATACTCAGTGAACGGAAGAGGGAAGCGGAAATTAATAAGAAGCGCATGTTATTATGATAGATCTAGTTTTATTGTGGGTTTGAAGAAGTTCATATTATAGTTATCAAGGAGGTAGCCTCTCAGGAGTCTTTTCCATAAAGTAACAATTCGCGGGAAGAAGCTTCCTGATTAGATCTTCTTCCTAACCAAAGGAATACGAAGGGAATGAAAATAATTAGAGGCTCATACAAGCTGTGAATTTATGAACTGGTGGAGCTAAGGACTGTAATTCATTTGAACGTCCGCCATATTTGTTGTATTGTGTTGTTCTGCGACATGTGATCAACTACTTTTTATGATTTCTGAAATTTCGACGAAAATCATATTCTGGAATTGTTTGGGGTATGCCATAAATGTAATTTTTTTTAAAGCTTCACAAACTTCCAAAGCTATAAAGACTTCAGTTATTTAATTTTTTCCCTCTTTTGTCTGGTTGTCATTCATTTTTTTAGCCGTAGTTTGGGCGGCAAAACACCGGATCCAAGTCTCAGCAATCTCTGGTTCATTTAAATATCCTATTGGCGACGCCATCTTATTAATAGCAATAGAGCAATGATAAGCGGACAACGTTCCTTACATGGGTTGAGGGGTAGAAAATAAATTATCACCCACATGCTTTCATTTTCAGTTTCTTTGTTGTGCATATTTCTTTGAAAAATGTTTTTTCTTATCATCGAAAGGATATTCCATTTCTCTCTCCATTATTTAAAAAAAAAAAAAGTTTTACTCATGTTCAAATGATTTCACTATCTTACCGTTATCGGAAAACATACCATTGTCTTCCCCACGCAGTTATTTACGATGTATCCAATAGTTACACACACGTTGCTATAGAATTCATTATTTTCTTCTCTATAATGCCAGCAATTAGCACACTTCTCTGTTCCTCATCAGCGTCAGCACGAGGCAGTGTTGATTTTACTTAGCGCATTTCGTCTCTCATATGTTTTGGAATCTCTGTTATATTATTCTTAGGTTTGATTCGTTATTCTATTACCAATCCCCCCTCTGCTTCTCCCTCGCCCGTTCTGTGAACAAATTTTCTTCATTCTCCCCTTCCTCACGAAGTTGTCGAAGCTATCTAGCTAGTCAGAAAATAGTTCCAAATACCTTGATGATTATTACATCGTCAACACGGAATCTAATTCCGTCAATTAATCGCTAATAACCATATTCTATTGAATCTCCTCCTGCTTATCATTTTCAAGGACTGCACCTCACTCTTAATATATATATATATATATATATATATATATATATATATATATATAATTTATTCGAAAATTATAACATAAATATGTTATAAAATCACTACAAAAATACCCATTTTGTTTCAACACTTCTGGTGTCTTATCATGTGATAGTTTGGAAACACCACGTTGAACACCATCACTTAATAAGACACCGGAAGTGTTGAAACAAAATGGCTATTTTTGTAGTGATTTTATAACATATTTATGTTATAATTTTCGAATAATTATATTTTTTCCTACTTTGTATTGAGCACTCTTTTAAGAATAGTATTTTTTTTGGTTACAAGAATTTATTCCATATAAACCAACTCTATGCTTGCGTATATATATATATATATATATATATATATATATATATATATATATATAAGTTTCATTAAAGACGATTATTAACAATAACTATAAGCAAGACGAATTATATCATAAAGGAATTCACAACCCCTGTTGAAGAGAACAAGAAAATTAAAATTTAGAACAGCTTGTAATGACAAAAGTACGCACTGAGAATAGAAGGTTCGCGTATAATGTCCTTTTATAGTCCCAGTAAACAGCAATGGTTCTCTCAAAGAGGTGAGTAACAAGACAAGGCGAGGCCACACTTTATTATTCATAACACAGCTATCTAAATCATCAAAACAAAGAACACACCCACAAATCAACAGTGAATAGAACCAATATTATTTACGAGTTCAAATACCCCTTAAGGAACAGCATTCCTGATCAAACCAAACGCATAAATAATTATATCGACGGAACTACTACATGGCTATCAAGGCGACTCACGTTACACCTATATGACTATAGCTCAATAACGACTCACGTAAACACAGACGGAAACCTTCCAAACGCCATTAGCTATTCACTTAAAAAATCAAAAATAATACTTACAAATGAGATATACTAAAATAATTTACAATAAATCATATTTATAAAATATCATGAAGCAAGAGCAAGATCTAAAGTGCCAGCCAATCTAACAGGGATCTCTTCCCACAGACCTCACTCTTGCTCCATATGCAGCCTCCTTTGTAAATCACTAGGTGGTCTTAAGTGGCACTTAAGATTATCGCACAAAATTTTATAACTGAATCAATTGGTTAAGTTGTCAGATCCTCATATGTTGAAACCTACAGGAGAGTCCATTATATATATATATATATATATATATATATTGTTCTTTTTTTTATTAATATGTGTCATTTGTTTAGTGGTTATACTTTTTAATGTTGTAACTTCTATTTATTGTATTTTTTATTAAATAGTGAGTTTAATAAACGGCCTAATTTAAGAAGTCGTACTAAAATATAATCGTGTCTTCTCATATTCCTTTTTTTATCTCGGGTAAAACACTTCTAAATCATAGCGTGCCCCTACCAGTTCAGCTACTGAGTCAGACTAAGAGAATAAAGTATTAATTACTTGTTAAGGAAGACATAATTTTTCTGGTTGGAATGTCTACGAAACTATATCTGCTAGCTACAGTTACGTAGCCAGGTTTTTGTGTTTTTTCTCAGGCATTTTTTAACCAACATTATTTCTTACTATAAACGTCATTTTTAGTGGTATACTTGTTCAAGTTGCTATCCCCGTTTTTATATTATTTTATTGTATATATATATATATATATATATAATAATATGTTTTGTGGTAAAAAAAAACTTTATGACTGTCATAAAAAGACAAAAAAATCTTTTTATTACCAGTCATGATGATAATACATGAAAAATAAAAATGAAAACGGGCTAGCTAACCGGTTTCGAACCTCGCTGAACAGAGCTAAGTCGAGGTTAATAAATAGAGTTAACACTAAAAAAGAGGATAATATGTATTGAAAAAAAAAAAAATATATATATATATATATATTAATTGAATAAATAATGTATATATATTTTTTTCTTCAAGTTCGTTTCATATGACTGCTGGTTTTCTCCAAGGCTCTAATCTTCATCAATGATCTTCCTGATGTCATCAGTTCTCAAGTAGGCATCTACGCAGACGACACTACCATTTACTCCTGCCTCAATAGAAACTCTGGTATTGCTGACAAAGTTAACACGGCCGTTGGCCGAAGACGACCTCCAATCTATGGTTGACTGGAGCAGGAAATGGCTTGTAAATTTTAATGCATCCAAAACGAAACTGCTCTCATTTACCTACCATAGAGAAACTTCCCCGTCTCCTATCAGCATGGTTGATGCTCAAGTTCACGAGAGCATTTCGCTGTGACTTCTTCGTCTCACGTTTTCCACTGACCTGAGGTGGCACAACTACATTGAATCAATAGCTGCATCTAATGCAACCGTTTTTTCTTTCAACAAAAACCTTTTTTTTTTCAACAAAAACATTTTGGCGAAAGATAGAGAACCAAGAAAACTTGCTTCTCTGTGTCACGCCAGAAGGTTTTTCTCGTCTGATTCCATCTTTTACATCTACCAATCTACAATTCATCCATGCATGGAATACGTTTGCCATATATGGGCTGGTGCTCGACAAAATCCAAAGACAGATATGCAATGTGATCGGTCCTGACTATGTATCTCCACTGCAGCCACTTTCTTATAGCCGTGGCGTGGTTTCCCTCTGTCTTTTCTACAAATATTTTCATGGCAACTGCTCTGACGAGCTATTTTCATTGGTAACCCAACTGCATGAATGCTATTAGGTTGGTATCTCGATCCCACACTTTTACAGTAAATGTAACCGCCATTTCTACGCCACCATCTTCTTCTCTCGCCCTTCCCGACAGCGGAACTCCCTTCCTCTTACTTACTTCCCTGATAACTATAATGTAATGTTAATCGATAACTTATGATATTTTGATCCGCGTACGTTTTTTTATTTTGTCCTCAATCAACACCTATACCCAGTCTTTTACTTTATGTCTCTGTAAACCCTTGGGTCCTAGTTGCACTCCCGCCTTGCTTTGGGGTGAAATTCATATATATAAATATATATATATATATATATATATATATATATATATATATATATATATATATATATATATAAAGCTTTAAAATGCATAACCATATTTGCGTAGAAGCTCCGTTTATTTCAAACACTAATTTATTCTCTCTACGGGCGTAAACACTCGAGAAATATCATTAAATTAAATTAAATTAAATTAAATGAGTCCTCCAGCAATATATATATATATATATATATATATATATATATATATATATATATTTGTGTGTGTGTATGTATGTGTGTATGTAGTCTATTTACCCTTTCTTACATTTTCTTTCCTTTTTCAGTCTATGTTATCAATATTCATTATCACCTCCGTCTTCGAAATCCTCTTTTTCTTTCTTTCTTTCTTCCTTTCTTTATTTCTTTCTTTCTTTCTTTCTGAGGTGATCTCGCTCGTTTTCATTGCCGTAGAGCTAAACTCTTTACCTGCTTTCTTTCTTTGTTATCTAAATTCGTTCTTTTTCTCACCATCTCCAAAATTATATCCTTCATTCTCATCTGCCATCATTCATTCTTCTTTCTTTGCCTTAATCCATGTTTATTCTTTCTTTCTTTCTTTCTTTCTTTCTTTCATTCTTTCTTTCTTTCTTTCTTCTCCATTATTTACCTTTATTCTTTCTTTCTTTTTCCATTATTTATTATAATTTCTTTTTCTTTCTTTAACCATATTTCTTTCTTTCTTTCTTTTCTTTCTTTCTTTTGTTTATTTATTTATTTATTTATTTTTTCTTATTTATTTCCTCCCCTTTAACATTCAGATATTCCAATATTTACATTTACTTTTTTCTTTCTTTGTCCATCATTTAATTTCTTTCTTTCTTTCTTTCTTTCTTTGTTTCTTTCTCCATTATTCACGTTCATACTCTCTTTCTTTTTCCATTATCATATAATTTCTTTTTCTTTAACATATTTCTTTCTTTCTTTCTTTCTTTCTTTCTTTCTTTATTTATTTATTTATTTATTTACTTATTTATTTCCTCCCCGCATTCAGATATTCCAATATACATTTTTTTCTTTTTTGTCCATTTTAATTTCTTTGTCCATCATTTTCATTTCTTTCCATTTCTTTTTTCTTTCTTTCTTTGTTTCTTTCTCCATTATTCACAATTCATCATTTAATTTCTTTCTTTCTTTCTTTCTTTTCCATTATTCATATAATTTCTTTTTCCATTAATTTTTCTTTTTCTTTAACATATTTCTTTCTTTCTTTCTTTCTTTCTTTTCTTTTATTTATTTATTTATTTATTTATTTACTTATTTATTTCCTCCCCGCATTCAGATATTCCAATATACATTTCTTTCTTTCTTTGTCCATCATTTAATTTCTTTCTTTCTTTCTTTTTTCTTTCTTTGTTTTCTTTTTCTCCATTATTCACGTTCATACTCTCTTTCTTTTTCCATTATCATATAATTTCTTTTTCTTTAACATATTTCTTTCTTTCTTTCTTTCTTTCTTTCTTTCTTTCTTTCTTTATTTATTTATTTATTTATTTACTTATTTATTTCCTCCCCGCATTCAGATATTCCAATATACATTTCTTTCTTTCTTTGTCCATCATTTAATTTCTTTCTTTCTTTCTTTCTTTCTTTGTTTCTTTCTCCATTATTCACGTTCATACTCTCTTTCTTTTTCCATTATCATATAATTTCTTTTTCTTTAACATATTTCTTTCTTTCTTTCTTTCTTTCTTTCTTTCTTTATTTATTTATTTATTTATTTACTTATTTATTTCCTCCCCGCATTCAGATATTCCAATATACATTTCTTTCTTTCTTTGTCCATCATTTAATTTCTTTCTTTCTTTCTTTCTTTCTTTGTTTCTTTCTCCATTATTCACGTTCATACTCTCTTTCTTTTTTCTTTATCATATAATTTTTTCTTTCTTTTTCATTCAGTACTTGTTATCCACATTCATTCTTTCTTTCTTTTTTCTTTATCATGTAATTTCTTGTTTGTTTATTTGTTCTTCCTTTCTTTCTTTCTTTTCCGCATTCATTTTTTCTCATTTCTCCAATATATAGTTTCGTTCGTTCTTTCTTTCTTTCTTTCTTCCCGATATACTTTTCATTCTTAACTTCAGCACATCTTTCTTTCTCTTGTTTTTCTTTTTTGTCTGATCCCCCTTCCTTTCTTTATATTTTCTTCATCTGTATACGTTTTTATCTTTGTTCCCCTTCGAGAGTCTTGTATAAACGCCGTTATTTGTTTCTTTCTTATATTTGCTTCATTATTTATTAACTTTTCTTTCTTTTTTTTTTTCTTTCTTTCATTTTTAATTCTTCCTTCGACCCATCCCGTCTCTCTCATTCTTTTCTTCCTTTTTGTCTGTTCCTTTTTTTCCCCTCTTCTCTCTTCATAACTCTAATTTCTATGGCTTCCGATGTCTTTATCTATCCTCTCCGAAGCCTTCACTCTCAAAAGTCAATTTCTCTTCCCCATGCTTGCTGTTTTCAATTCTCTCGCTCTCTTTATTTCCCGCGAATCTCCCGCCTTTTATCAAAATACTATCCAGCCTACACGCCACACACACATATCCACCCACAATTTTTTGACTATCTTTTTTTTCTTTCCATTCTTTGTTGTCCTGCTGCACTCAGACATCGGCATTCATTGAAAATATCGATTATTCACATTCATTCCCACCTAAATCACCCCTTTCCCTTGAGCAACTTGATAATGAAAGTGTAATTAATTCTTTAAAAAATAGTGGAAATATATTTTCCCACTTGTTTGCGTATATATATATATATATATATATATATATATATATATATATTATTATTATTATTATTATGAAAGATATATATACATATTATTAGTGTAAAGATATATATATATATATATATATATATATGAATATATATATATATATGAATATATATATATATATATATATATGAATATATATATATGAATATATATATATATATATATATATGAATATATATATATGAATATATATATATATATCTATGTATATATATATATATATATATATATATATATATATATATATATATATATATATATATATATATACATATATAAACACATATTATTATTATTACTATGGCTATATATATATATATATATGTGTGTGTGTGTGTGTGTGTGCGAGATTGTCACTTCTTGACAGAAGGAGACCATCTCCACAACAAATTTCTTCTTTTTTTTTTAACTTTCAGACACGCCGACCATGAGAGCGCGAAGAATATTTAAACCGACTTTAATTTTAAAAGCTTTTGCAGAAATATTGCACCTGAAAGTGAGATCCCCAAGCCCAACAGGCACGGCATCAACGTGAATATTCATGTGCCTTGTTAATCCAGAAGCTGACTTGCGTACGTTATGGCAGAATGTAAAAGAAGGCACAAGGATTGATTTCGGGCTTCTTTCAATGGATCGACCCTGATGAGACTTAAGGTGACTTTGAAGACCTGCCCTCAAAAGATGAAAATTAGCACATAAACCAGATACATGCTGTAAGGTTTGGGCGGAAGGTAAGCGCTCAAGATTAATTTTACGAAGATTGCGATTAACCTTAGCATGCTCCACCTTGTCCTTTTTAAACTGGTTACAACCTTGATGAACTGTCGTTCGCCACGAAGCTCGACATTCAGCCTCCAATTACCCAGGTACCAACTGATATCCCAAGAGCTTTGACATTGGTTTTCATGCAATCTATAAAGCGCTTTATAGGTTTGTGTCTGGGGCGATTAGCTGCAGATAGTTCACCATAAAAGGCACGTTTAGGCAACTGAGTTATTCATGCACACCAAGTGACCTGCACAGCGCATTTGATTGATAATGGTTAGCTTGTCAATACTTGGGATATTAGCTTTCTCCAGAACACCTGTCAGGTAAAAAAGGATGCCGTGAAATATTCATGATTCTTCTGAGGAGCTTTTGGTGTACGCTTTCAAGCGTGGTAATATGACGTCTGTATATTGTCCAGAAACATAAATAAAAGCATGAAAGGGCAGTCAAAACACATGACTCTTAAAATTTTACCTTGATGTTAAGTGTGATGTTTCTGTCTGACCACACCCGCTTCTTCAAGCATACAAAAGATTTGGTAGCTTTCTCGATGCAGTGAAGTATTTCAACGTCTAGTGTCCCATTTCGTGAGGGTGTGCTTCCAAGGTATACAAAAGTATCTACCACATCTAGCTTCCTGCTATCCACAAGTATTTTTGGTTGACGATACGGTTGACCAGGAGGTGGTGTGAACATTACCTTGGTCTTTCTCAGACTAATAGTAAATTCAAAAAACTTACATGCGTCAGCAAAAAATTCATGATGCTTTGCGTATCTTCTTTAGTATGAACCACGAGGTCGACATCTTCAACAGAAAGAAGATCACAAATAACTTTCTGAAATACCTTTGTGGCGGACATGAGACAGAACCTGGGACGAGCACAACTGGCCGCGACTTGCCTTGTCCCCGCCAAAAAAGAGCCCGTATTTGCTTAGCATGTAAAGCTACTGCAGTTGAAATGAGGGGAGAAAAAAGCACTTACCGCTCTGCCGTAATCCGTTCTCGGCCAGATAACGTAAAAGAATGAGGGGGGACTGGCATCGCATTTTTATGCAATAACGATGCAATGCATTAAGGGACATGGACGCAATGAATTATGGGATCACATGAAGACGCAAGGGATTGTGGGTATATGAACAACTATAAAAGCAACTACTTTTTTCCGAGTCGGGGAGTTCTTCGAGGGACGTTCACGGTTGACGGCAAGAACGGGCAGTTAGTGTGATTTGGAGACAGAACTCAAGAAGGAACGACTCAAGGTTGAAATACCAGCTGGGAGAGCTTGAATTTACTCGCTGGTTACTGTTTTTCTTCATTCGCCTCAACCTTTGTGGAAGCCTTAAATCGTTCGGAAACGCAAACAAACAACAATGGTACTGTCTCTAAAATCATGTGTGACCATCACAATAAAAAAGGTATAACATAAAGTAGGTGCAAGTATATCGCCTTGCTTCACACCATTCTCAACAGAAATTCTTCAGACAGAGTACAACTGAAGTTCTACTTAGCTTTCATGTGGCTCTGTAGTTCTTCAAATTCATTTGGTCAACCGAGTTTTCTTAGAATTGTTCACAAGGCGTTTTTATTCACAGGGTCAAGCGCCTTAGTTAGGTCAGACTTGGTAAAACGTGACACAGTGTTCAATGCAATTTTATACCAGTTGTCGGGCTGTGAAGGTCGTGTCCGTTATACCTCTACCAGAGCGATACCCACATTGACTCTGTGGTATTACTTTAGAACAGATGGGATTTTGAAGGCGATTCAGTAAGCTTATTTCCCTGTAGTTGTGTTATGGTGGAACACGGCTTTTCTATTGTTAATAGACTCTCCCACCTATAATAAGTACGAGTATTAAGAGTAACGTGGGAGTCGGTCAGTCAGTCGACTGACTGATCGGTTGAACTCTTTTATATATTATCACACAATGATTGAATGACTCGGAATTTCATGTATGAAACTCCGTGTCGTGATATTGGAGTAATATGTATATTTATTAAAATATATATTTTCATTTTAAATTGATAATTTAACTTCATTTTAAATATACCATTCTTTAACTATCAATATTGATAGTAAAATATTAAATTTATATTTTTGGGGGGATAATTATACACTTCAGAAGTCACCTAACTGTTGAAACTTGACTAATGCATGGAATAATAATGCAACACAAAATGTACTTAGAACAAAATGTATTGAAACAAGAAAGTGTACACAATATTTACATATAGTCTTTTGTATATTCCTGGGAAGACCGTTCCTGGAGAATGTGTTGACTTAGTCGCAGTCAGGCAGAGTCTATGGATTGAATCTCTTGATTCCTTCCCTTTCTTCTCGGTACCAACCATATTTATATGGCCTGTACTCCACTATGCAAATTAGGTGGATCCTACCACAACACTAACGTTAAACATTAACTATGAAATTACAATAATAAATCTACATGAATTCAAATATAAAAATATATGTAATTATTTATAAATGTATATGTATGTAATTTATGTATGAATATGTATAGGTACATGTGTATATCGCTACATGTGTGTCTATGTGTGTATTTGCGCATATATATATGGGATTTGCATGAATATATATGTGATATATATAAGAAGAAAATAAAATTTTTAATATTACCTTCAAATATTATTCCATAATTAAACCTAAACTTTAAGTAAGTAAGATTACCCATATAAAAATAATGACAAATTACATTCATAAATTAGATTAAAAATAATACTAATAAAAATGTTACCGTAACTATTTTTTATAATATTAAAAAAGTACGATTGGTCGGGTAAACAAACTATTATAATTTAAAAAAAAAATTTATGAATAAATTCTATAAATCTGTTAATAAATATAGTATTTAACTTATATTAAATCCTTAAACTATTTCTTTAAAAAATTAAATATTTAAATTGATAGCAAACATCAAATAAATTTTTTAGATATCTAAATTTCTATCCAGCATTAAAATCTATTCTTTACATAAATTGCTAAAACCCTATTACAGCCTCTTTCTCGTTACTTCCCTCTCCCTTTCCCTCTTCTTTCTTTTTCTTTTTTTTTCTCCCTACTCCCCTTCTATTTCAATATATCACTTCCGTTAAGTTAACCGTCTAAATAGGTCAAGGTCTGGTCACTCCTCCTCCCCCAATACAAAGTATGCTTGAGAGATATATGAAATTAATCCCTCCCTATACTCTACCATGTCTCTTTAACTACTCCTCTTCCACTCTGTGTTAAATTACAAAAACTTACACTACCCATCAATTTTAATTTCATTTTTCGTTTCATTTCGTTTTTGGAAGTACTATCTGATGATCCGGCGTCCTTTAAAATGACTCTGATGAAATAAATTATTATAATGGTACCTTAAAGTGGTCTGTTTTTTTTTTATATATATATATATATATATATATATATATATATATATATATATATATACACCGGATATACACCGGGTGTAACAGCAAAATGGCCTAAATATTAAAGATATCTAACTGAAAATGTCCGAGTTTTTTATAACAATATTGGATTCTACTTAGAAAATAATAATGTATTTAGCTCTAAGTTGAAATGATAATCCGTTCTTGCTGTTAGGACCACCTGATCCAATTTTACACTCTACTGTTCCCCCCTTTTAAAACTTATTCACCGTTCTTTCGTTAGTTCCTGAATGAACTTTGAAAATGAAATCCAGAGTATGAATGCTGGCATCATTACTGAAGCTGTGAATGAAATTTTCCCTCTCACCATTGCTCAGTTGTGAAGACATAGTGGGACTGACAGTAAATGATTTTTCGCTTTCTAGATTTACA